TAGCCGATTTATTGGCCAAGAAGTTGGGCATCAATTGTGAGTATATACATACAGTATTCGTAGAATAGTGCATTTGAACGCCATGACATTTATGTATGTATGTTCTTTTATTATATGTAGGTATGTATTTGTATAGCATGTACTTACCATTCATATGCATTATGTGCTCATGAAAGCAGTGCAATGAAAATCTTATTAACTGCAGTTGAGGTATATTTTACTCTTACATAAGTATGTATGTATGTGCATTAGGCATATGAATTTTTAATTTATTTACTTATTTGTTAAGTTTTCATATAAAGTTCAAAAAATATATCCGAATCAGTAACAGTTTTGTAGAAAAAAATTCCAAAATTTGAAAATTTATTGAAATATTTACTTATTTGAAAATTGTTTGAACTTTATGTTACAAAAGTGCTTCGAAAACGAACAATAGAGAGAAAATTATAGTAATTTAAAAAACTGTAATTTTTTTTTAAGTGGATATCTGAAAAACGAATTGAACAAATAAAAAAAAACCGTAAGGCCTCAAAAAAAAATTGTTTAGTCGTAGTGTAGTGCTTTCGACTGCAATTTGGCAGGGAATTTCTGAATCCACAATGTAGTATTTATGTAAATCTTTTTTATTAATGCATTCCATTTCACGCAAATTTTTACTTTTTCATTAAGTTAAAAAAAAATATATATAAATCCAATGTTATTCCAATATAGGACTAGACTGAAAAGTTTCGAAATATGTTAAATTTAAAATTTTATCAAAGTCTTAAAAAGCACGGTTTTGAAAATTTTTAAATTTTATATTCCAAAAGTGTTTTGGAAAATAAGAATTCACAAAAAAGAATTTTTCACAATGTTCTTGGCATTAAAAAGTTTCGGAATGTGTGATAGTAAAAAAAAAAGATCACGAAAATCCATAATTTTTTATTAAAAATTTAAAGTTTTATCAAAATCTTAACAAGTATGGTTTTGAGAATTTTTAAATTTTATATTCCAAAAGTGTTTTGGAAAATAAGAATTCACAAAGAAGAGGAAAGTTTTTTTCAGATATCTCGAAAATGGCTTGACAAGAAAATTAAACAACAAGGGTAGGCCTCCCTCCCTCCTCAGGAGATGCAAAATCCAAATTATCGAAAAATTTTAAGTTTTGAAACCATATTTTGAAATATCTATCGTATTTAATATTTTTTCCAGTAATTCTTTTTTTCTTTCTTTGTACCAAATTTTAACAAAACCTTTATTCTTATTTGTTTTTCATCAATCCTCATCCTATCCTTATGGTATAATTTATATAAAAAAGGCATATGCCTAATGTACAATGTGCTTGCCTGTACATCTGTACTTATAACTGCATAACTGACTCTCCTTGTGCTTATAATAAGATTTTATGCGCATTTTATACGTTGAAAATGTGAATTATGTGCAAGTATAGTTCAATTTCGATTGAGCAGAATAGCTTTTGAGGCCACTGCGTTGAAGAAATTAAATCATTTGGGTATATTGCGTAGAAAAGAAGACGTTGAAATATGCTTGAATAAAAGTTCGTTGAAAAATTTATTGAGCTAAAAGCAAGCCTCAGTCAAAAAATTATATGTGCAATGTTTCAACTTCAGCTTGTAGAATTAAATGGAAAACTAATATTTAAAAATTCGGTAATATTTAGTTATGATTATCGTTTTAATCATTACTGAAACTACTACTTTTAAATTCTTCTACAATATTTAGATTGTTTATAAAATGCTTAAAATGCATTTTCATCCCAAAAGTGGGCTGTTGTTTAGCGATTTATTTATTCAGCGTAAGCGCGAGGGCCGTGTTAATATTTTTGTAAATTTTCTATTGTAACAGAGAAATTAAAAATATATACAAAATTCTCGGAAAATCGTGCTTTCTCCAGTAGCTAACCTTTGGGTTTTACTTTTGGATCACCCTTGGGGATTGTACAAGCCAAACTGTAGATGGTGGAGCTCTGAAAATCCAAGAGCAACACACGAGCACCAGTTACACCAGTCCAGGTGCACTGTTTGGTGCGGTATTATGGCCGAAAAAATGATCGGCCCATATTTCTTCGAGAATGAGGATGAAACGCCAGAAATGATTTCTGGAGCTTCTTACAGAACAACTATTGACACTTTTTTGCGTCCAACGGCAGAGAATTTGTGGTTCCAACAAGCTGGAGTAGCTGCGTACACTGCTAGGTACTATGGACCTATGAGCTATGGATGGTAGTTCTTATTTGGTCCACAGCAGCATCCAGACTTGTCTAACCACTGGTTGGTATCCCCCGATTAGCTTAAGGAATTTTCTCAATCGATAGAAATATATTGTTAGCTTTGCTTTTCTTATTTCGAAGCATTGTTCATTGTCGACTTTAAGTAGTAGAATGAGCTTTGTAGCAAGGCTTTTCAGCGCGAAGGACCACCCTATCATTAAAGAAGATCTCTAGGTTTTTTTCATTTTGTGGCACGTGCCAGTCTAAGTCTTCTATGTACGCCTCTGTCTCGGATCTTTTTGATCTTAATTACTATTTATTTACATAAAGCAGGGATCACACGATTTGTATGTACAGAGTGGTGTTGGCTAGAAATTTTAATCGGGAATCAGTGCGGTCTCAATAACCACTTCACAAAAAACACCACTCTCTAACAGAGAAAAAGGACAAATCTGTACAAATGTACAAATCGTGGGATCGCTGCTTAAGAATGTAGTAGCTGGGAGGCCGTCAGGAGTGCTGAAAATGTGTATTCCAGAGTTCTGGTTGAATGCCACGAGTGCGCAATTTTCTGCGCATAGCATGACTTCAGAGAAAAACATGAATTTTTTTTATTTGTTTGCTTATGAAATGCCGTTGTACAGTAGTTACAACCCACTCTTGGTTGATCTATTTAATTTTATTTCGTGTCAATTCTCGTGTTTTCTCTTGACTAAAGAATTTATGATAAATTTAAGAATACAAATTTGTGTAAGTTTAAAATTTAAGCAGCTACAATTAAGTTTATAGTTTCTCTTTTTAAACAATATCTTCCATTATTCCCCGATTTTTCGTAATTTCTTTGATACTTTCTACACTGAGTATTTATTTCATAGCGCAGTTATTCAGCACACAGCCATTTAATTTGTATGCCTACAAACTTTTACCCCAAAGTCCAATTTCAACTTACTCTACTTTTTCTTCTCTTACTTTGCATACACCACTGCATTTGCTGCCACTACTTATGTTGTTGTTGCTGCTCCTTTGGCTGCCCCGTTCGATATTGCGCTGGCCGACCGTCTCACATGAATTGCTGCTACCAAACACAGATGAATTGCGTCTGGTCAAGGATGGTACCTACGGTTCAGAGAATCCAACGGTGCGCGGTGGCTGGGATGGCATGGTCGGTGAACTGGTACGACGGGTGAGTACAACTTCATACAAACACACACACATACATATAGTTAGGCGCTATAGCCGGACAACGCACGTGTTTGCTGCCACATTGGTTGCACTCGAATTTATTCCGATTGCATGAACACTTTCATTTCGTAACGCATTCAAAATGTTTTCTTTATTATTGCTTTTTCTCTTCTTCTCCGAACTCTCTGCCGCGGGCCATCACCGCACATTAAACGACGACTGCTGCCGTGCTAACTTTATCTTTGGCAACGATTATCGTTTCGGTTATCGTTGGACGGACGGTTTTATTGCTCGATGCGCCGAATTCGCAACGCGCCTACTACCGTAAAAACAAAAACAACCAAAAACTACAAATACAAAAACACCAACAATGAAATCGAACAACTTCATCGTCATTGCCGTTGCCATTGCCATTGCTGTCGCATACGCGTTATTTTATTGTACCAATGTGTGTCCAAGCAGGAAGCGGATATTGCAATCGCTGCCATGACTATTACCGCCGAACGGGAGCGTGTCATCGATTTCAGCAAACCATTCATGTCACTGGGCATTTCAATAATGATCAAGAAACCAGTGAAGCAGACGCCTGGTGTATTCAGTTTCATGGATCCTTTATCGCAGGAAATTTGGGTGAGTATGCGAATGTTCGTCGAGATTCGATGTAGGCTCAAAAAAAACCGAGCATCAAATATCTACATCTCTCTTAGAATCAACTACTTAATATCGCGATAGCGATAAGCTCATATTGAATTTGGTTGAGCTGCATTGTTTCTTGGAGATTGTATGTTTGTGTTATTTTGTAAGGATATATCCTTACAGCATCTGAAAGCTCTTTACATTTTATTGATATTGCTCAGCCAGACTTGTTTTTATACCTTTCATGAACTGGTACAAAGAGAAATGGTACAAGAGAGCGGAAAGAGTATCAGATTATTTGAAGATGCTAAAACTTTTTCAGTAGGCGGCGAATATAATCGTTTTTTTTTTGACATCTTACCTTAGATATTTGCGAAATATAAGATGCTTACTGCATGAATAACAACCGCAAATTGACTGCCTGCCAGTTTAGTCGTTTTGCGGCTAGATTTAGCCTTTTGCGAAAATTCGGTTTAGCAGGCAGCCGATTTGTTAGCCCTTTTTAGTCGATTTTGCTATTTGCATTAATTTCTTAAAATTCAAATATATAAGTTTCCGTGCTTGGATATAGTACCAACACATGGAACAAATAGTACAGGTATTGTCTTCCCAGAGAGCGCATATTCGAATCTGCCTTGATTACAAAAAATCATTGTTGTCCACACTAAAAGGTAAGGAAAAAAGATATTTTCAAGCACTATGTGCATATATTTTTTTCTTTTAAAAAAATTTACCGAAAAAATGGTCAAAGGTCAAATTTTAACTTTTATATTTGACTGAAAAAATAAAAATCTAATTTTAACTTTTACTTTTGACTGAAAAACTATCAGTCAAAAAATAACGGTAATTGCTGACTTTTTTGAAAAAAAGTACAAAAAAAAATATATCATATAGGATTAACATTCCTTGGCTAACAAGCATCACATTGCTATATACAAATGTTAAAAACACCAATTCTTTCCGACTGACTTTTTGAATTGAAATTTTGAAAATAACTATTATTTTCGGCCCCTGCTGAAAACATCTTTCTTATTCAAAAAATACTACCCACTTCCAAAATTTCTTAAGCTCTCCGATTGGTTCAAAACGGCAACTTTGCCAACAGTCTCAAAAAAAACCGAAATGCTCCTTAAAAATTCTGAAGCACCGATAAGTGTACATCAAAAAAAATCTCCCTTAAAAATTGATCCGCCCTAATGTATATACTAATTTTAACTAAGAATACTAAACATCTGCATGGAGATATCTTACAACAAATGAATGCGAAAATAGATAGCTCACTTAAGCATGTGCAATGTGTCAAGCTTGCTGCAGTAAGCTATGAATGCAATCATTCGGCCACAATAACCATTTGCGTTCGCCTTCCTGTTTAGCACAGCCAAAAATAAAGCAAAAACTTTTCTTACAACGGTTCTCTGACTTCATAGTTTGCCGCATATTTGACCTGTTTTGCATTCGTCTTTGAAGTATACAGCCAATTGTTTTGTTTACAAGCTTTATATGTATATGTATGTGTAGTACATGCTTACAAATTCTTGTTATTGTTTCAATTTCCGCTGGCCAATTTCCCTTAAGATGCATGCTAAAAATTTCACAAATATTTTAGTAAAAATTAATGTAGCAGAAATTGCGCTGCATATAAATGATAAAACTTTGAAAAAACTTACACATGTACATCCACTTATGTACTTATGTATGCATATGGGGCGTTCCATACCACGGGACGGGGTTACGCTTCATGTGTTCGATTGGTTGCAAATTTTTAGGGTTGATAGATAAACATAAATAATGAATAATATGAAATTTGAGCTTGATTATTATATTTTTATGGCACAAAAACAAAAACAAATCGATTTAATAGTTTTCCAAATATCTCAAAAACGGAGCGAGGAAAAAATTTGAAAAAAATTACATATACACACATCAAAAATCTCTATGAAAAGAAATATTTAAAAATTTTTTTTTTTAACTTTTCACGTGCAAATTTTTTGATAAAAAAAAATAGTTCTTGAAAATATGCCATCGCACAAAAATTTAAAAAATTACAGTGGCAGCTCTTCCGTTTTCCGTTTTCGCTTAAAAGTTTTAAGTTTTAAGTTAAAACTTGCTGTTTATTATATTAAAATTTAATGGGCCACAAAATTGCTTACTCAAAAAAATTCTAAAAAAAATTTTTAAAATTTTAAATTCGTAATGTACTCATTTTACTCAACTTTGGTGTAAAAAAAATTCATAACTCAAATTTTTATAGAGTGCACCCCATAATACTATGCTTAGATATTGCACAATACTCAGAGCTACTATAGTAATTTTTTTCAATTTTTTTTGAGATGGCATATTTTCAAAACCTAATTTTTTTATCAAAAAATTTGTATGTGAAAAATTTTTCAATAAAAAAAAAATTAATATTTATTTTCATGGGGAATTTTGGTGTATGTATGTGTGATTTTTCTTTCAAATGTCTTTCTCGTCCCGTTCTCAAGATATTTGGAAAACTAATAACTCCATTTGTTTTTGTCTTTGTGCCTTAATTTTTTAAAAATGTAAAATGTAAATGTATCAAAAAAATCACACACATGAAGTGTGAACTCCGTCCATTTTGGTATGGAACGCCCCATATATATATGTATGTGTACATGATTTGGCATTTTGGTTGCACATTCAGCGTTGTTGTTTTCTAAATACATATCTATCTATATCTATGGGTATGTGCGCTTGTGTAGTATGCTTAAAGGAGAGCATGTACTTTGTACAACTTTTCATTCAGCGAAATTTAAACTTTTCCACCCCATCAACATTAAGCAACGCCAACAGCGAATAGCTACAGTAGCACTAACAACACCAACATCAATAATAACAGTAACAGCAACAGCATCAGTAGCAGCTGCAGCACGGAAATAGTAGCAGCAACAATAATAAGCACCGCATCGATGCTTTGGGTTGTTCGCCTTACATTTGTACGTTCATTCTTTCATTTTGACTATTTGGCAAGTTTTCTATTTGGCCAAAATGTAGAAAGCTTATAAAGTTTAATGTAGTAAACCGGCGAAAAGTTTTGTTGTTAGAAAATTGAACTTCTGTGTTTACCAAAGCGTTCGCTGTACCCACACCACAGCTGCTGGTCGCTCTTCCGGCCTGCAAACACAAACACACATTTCCTGCTGGCGACCCGCATCATCTGTCATAAACTAGCAGAGTCAAATTTTTGCAGCAACTTACATCCCCTTGCCCGGATCTCTCAGCCACCCACTTTGGCTTCACAGCTTGTGTCACAGTATAATTTCCTTTGTTGCGTCTATCGTAGATTTGCCTTTACGTGTGAGCTGGGTTCATCAAACTTTGTCGCCCCTCAAAACTAGTGACATTAGACTAAGCAAATACGCTTGCGGAAAAGTGCATAAAAAGCTCTAACTCCGCTGCATCGTAAAGCAGCGTAAAGGATTTCTTTGCAAAGTGAAAAACTTCGTTCGCACTCCAGTGAGTGGGAAAATTGCAGTAAAGATTTGCAAAATCTGTCTGCAAAGTCAAATACTTTTCTTAGATTTTTTATTGCTCTTCAATGGTAAGTGTACTAAGTAATTTTGTGCAAAATTAAAATGTCCCAGCAGCATGTCGACTTCTTATATTCTTCTTCCACTTCTCTAGCTGCTGTTGTTGCACACAAACACTTCTGCATATTAATGACTTGGAACTTTGCATAGTCGAGGAGTTTGTAGAAGCAAAATTGCATCGAGTTAAAAAAGAATCTGAAGAAAGGCAAACTAAACTTGTATTATTAATAAAGCGAACAAATTCCATTACTTTTTGGTGCATAGCAGATATTTGGCCAAAAGCGCTAGCTTACTTGGCTTATTTTGGTTATGAAGAGTTTATTAAGAGCAAGTGAAGTAAATGCAATCCTTTGAATATGTCCTTTCATTTCTTCAGATATTTGATACATATAGAAAAATAATTAAAATTTGTTTGCACACATTTTCATAAAATACCTGGTTCTCGCTTATTAAGTTATATAAATTATTTTCACCTTCTTCCTGGGAGGGAGTAGTAGTTTGAAAATGTTTTGAAGAGGGTTGCCACCTGCTTGAAATGTCGAACTTTGTATAGATACTTACATATATACAAGTTATACGAAATATCAGAATATGGATGTCAAACGAAGGAGTGTTAAGAAATCTTTAGTTTGAACTGTAAGAATATTTTTGAGAGAGTTGCGACCGGTTTAAAAAGTTAAATTCAAATTATTTAATATGTTAAATGAATTATTAAAATATGGGTATCAATTGAAGGGAGTTTGAAAAATTTTTATATCTGAACTGTACTTAGCGGGATTGCCACATGTTTGGAAAATAAAAATCTACTTTTTTCATCAGTTAAAAAAAAATTGTATCGCAATGTCCGGCGAAGGAGAGTCATCAAGGATTAAGCTTGAAAAAACTTTCGAATATGGCTGCCACCTGTTTGATGGTCTAACTCAATTAACTAATACAAAAGGTTCATGAATTATAAAAAAACACATAGTCAAACAATGCTAAGAAATCTTTTTTTGAGCATTTGGAAAGCTTGAAGAGGGTTGCCACGTATTTAAAAAGTTTCGTTGAAATTATTCAATAAGTTGGATATTATTAGAAGATGGGTATCAATCTAAATTGGTTTGAAAAGGCTTTATTCCTGACGTTTATTTAGGAGGGTTGCCGTATGTTCACAAAGAGAATACTTTTGAAAAGGAATGTCAAAAATGAGAGGTCAAATTAAAGACCTTAGCCTGTAGATGTGTGATAAATTTTTTTATTTTTTTTTTAATGAAGAACTTTTCTCATCGGTATAGGATGATTTGAAATTAGATGGAATTAAAAATATGCACTATGCGAGACTGTTCTCCACTGGCACTCGGATCTTTTATAACTCTGGCTAACATTTGGAATATTATTTAAGTTTTTGAAATTCAATTTTGGGCATTTTTATGCCATGCGGGTTCACTAGTTTGTGTGTTTTGC